TTCAATGGGCAAATTTCACATCACCCTTTGAGAACTGGGGCTCAGGGAACGCATACAAACAGCTACTTCTTTTGATCCTCTCTTTTTCTCTGAGCCAGGAGTTTCATATCTTCTGCCAACATTCATGAAAGTGTGGTAGGCTTACTTGTTAGCTTAGGGTAAAATCTCAGACTCTTCACAGTCTTGAAAACATATAGAAATACAATTAATTTTTGCATGATAGTCTTATATCTTGCATTCTTGCTAAACTCACTGATCAATTATAGATAAATGGCTGATGGCATCCAATTTTCTACACAGACAACCACATTGTCTGTGAACACTATTTTACTTCATGTTTTTTAAAACATCCCATACAGTATTGAATGGGGCTTCCCAGGTGGCACGGTGGTAAAGAATCTGTCTGCCAATGCTGGAAATGCCAGAGATGTGGGTTCAATCCCTGGGTTGGGAAGATCTCCTGGAGTAGGAAATGCTAATCCATTTCAGTTTTCTTGGCTGGAAATTCCATGGACAGAGGTACCTGGTGGGCTACAGTCCATGGGGTCACAGAGAGTCAGACATGACTGAGCACACATGCATAAAATATTGAATAGAATTGACAAGTGTGGATACATTTGTCTTATTCCTGATCTTATGGGGAAGTCAGATGCTGTGAATTTTTCCTGATTATGTGGATATGTTTATATCCCTATAACTATTCTTGACCTTAGTTTTAGGACTGTTACTTCAAAACAGTTTGATTACTTCAAGTGTTTTAAGATTTGTCAGGGAGGAATGAAACAGTGCCCCTTCTAGGATAAATAATCCCCACTACCGAGGCAAGAGTCTGCTCAGGGCTCTGCTCAGTGTGCGTGGACAACCCGCGACCGGCGGCAGCAAGTGCTTATGTCAGCCCTCTGTGAGTGTCAGCCTGTGCTTCTCTTGTGTCCATTGCGTGCTTCTCTCTCCAGGCTTCAGTTGCATGCTTACACACATATACGGACCAACTCTCTCTCACACCCTAGGAGTCTCTGCTGCAAACTCCGCATCTCCAGTCGGCACAGCTCTTTCCTCTGCAGTACTTTGTCTTGTTAAATGCAGGCACCTCATTCTCCTTGACACTCAGCTCTGTCCTCAACCGAGAGCATCTTTTCAGCTCTACCTGGATTCTTAGATGTTGGTCCATAGCCTAGAATTCTTTCAAGACAGGAAACTGGGAAAACTTCTAGGCTTACTTCTCTTTGTTTTTAACTCTCAAGATTCACTACCTTTCTTGATGTCCAATGTCATGAAAATTATTGTTTTATATGCTTTGTCCAATTTTTAGTGGTTTTAGGTGGAAGGTCAAATCTGATCCCTGTTGTTACATATTAGCTGGAAGCAAAGTCAACCCTTATACTAGATCTTTACATATCAAAAAGCAATAAAATTCTATTAAGAATATAAAATTGACTACATCTATAGATGCTTTTATAACTGTATATTGATAACTTCCACTGCATAAGGCAGGAGGTGCAGGTTAGATCCTTGGGTCAGGAAGATCCCCTGGAGGTGGAAGTGGTAACTCACTTCAGTATTCTTGCCTAGAAAACCCCATGGACAGAGGAGCCTGGTGGGCTACAGTCTATAGGGCTGCAAAGAGTCAGTGACTGAGCACGCACGCGCACAGTACATATCAGAAGAGAAAAACACAAAGGGAAAACAAGGAGAAAGAAACAAAGAGAATGAGGACCAAGAAAAGAACAACCTGCAGAAGAAGAATTCTTAAATAGGTTAGTAACAGTTATCCAGGATGACCGGAGGCTGAGACCAACTTGTATAGAGCTGTGAATACAAACCCAGATTAGGACTTGCGTTTTATACTTCATCAATTCAATAATTATTTGTTTAGTGTTTACTACATTCCAGACATTGATTATAACAGAGTTCAGCAAACTAGGACAAGCATCCTGTTTTTTTGTACAGCCCACAATCTAAGAAGAGTATTTACATTATTTGAAAATTGAAAAATATAAAAGGATATGTAATAGAGATGGTACAGGCTTCAAAGGCTAAAATATTTGCTATTTGGTCATTACAGAGAAAAGTTTGTCAACTCCTGGTTTGAGGTATTGGAGACAGCAGTATTAAAATGAAAAAAAAAATAAAAGAAATAGAGATCTGGACCTTATGAGCCAATATTCTAGTGAGAAGGATACAGATGAGCGATAAATAAGTGAAGCATATAGTTTGCCAGACGATATGTAAAAAATTAAACAGGGAGGGAAGTTGGATTGCTAGAGATGAAGTGGTTTCAATGTCCCAGAGCAAGTTGACGATGATGGTCTTGAGATGAAAGAGATGATCTGATTACCTACACTTTGAGGTGATAAAGGCCATTATGGTGGCAAGCTGGGACAGGGATTTTGATTGTAATTGCTGCAAGAAAGATAAGAAAGGGGGTGGTGTGTCACCCGAAGCCCAGAGTTCTGGGACTCTTAATTCCCCTGACAATAATGAGATAGATACCAGAAAAAAGTATAGTCTTATAGGAAGCAACCAGAGCTCTGGCTCCCTCTGGATAAGCAATGGCATTTGGAATAAAGGAGCTGCATGTTCACAACTTTATCTGAAGGTAGTGTGAGAAGGAAGCATCACAGCAGGGTCCTTCGAGTGGCAAACTTTTAAGATTAGAGATTTCTTTATATTGACAGTATATCAAGAGACACCACTGACAAGCTAAACATTCAAAAGTATATATGTGAGAAGAGACAGAATTGTTCTGGTGTTAGCATCTCAACATAAGAAACACTATACTGAGTCAAATCAATATTTAACCGTATCACTGTTACTAAAATGTCTGTTGAGCACCTACTATGCACCCAACACTGCTCTGGGCACTGAAAATACAGTCGTGTGCCAGAAAATAGAAACCAGTTCCATCTGTCAGAAAATTTACCTTTGAACGCCACATGCAATTTCACATTTTTGCAAGGGCTGGCGCAAGCTGGAAGACACTGCTTTAAATGGAGTGGACAGGGAGTGCGCTCTGAAGAGATCCCTTTTATGCCAGCTGTTGAAAGATGAAAAGGAGCCAGCCATTCCAGAGTGAGGGAGTGAGGAGAGGCAACACGGATAAAAAGTGAGAAGGCCCTGCGGCAACAAAGCGCTGAAGGAGCACCGACTGAGGACTGTGGCGGTTTCTCCTCAGGCAGTTTTGTCAGAGAGCACTATTGATCCTGGGATGAGGCGGGACCCCCTGGGACAGCCCTCCAGCCGCAGGCTACCGAGGGCTTATTCTTCCCTTTTTTTTTTTTTTTTGCTGCCACCACACACAGGACCAAAGAAAGCGTAGGGGAGGATGATTTTTCTCCAGATACCATGGCTCTAAGATTCAGACCCTTCAGATGTATCCTTTCTTTGTCTGCAATGGTACAGTATGTGTCTACTTCCTTTATACACTTATTAGAGAGAGCAGGAGGGCAATAATATTAATAGTAATCATACCACCAGCAGCAATAGTTGGCATTTATTGAGGGCTTACTTGTACCAAGCACTTTACATGTACTCTTAATTTAATCTTCAATTCTGAGATGTGGGACACTAGTACCACCATTTTCCAGATGGAGAAACTGAGGCACACGGAAAACTGAGCAGCTGTGTAGTTCATATAGCTAGTAAGTGCTCAAAATTAGCAATGTGACTTCAGGACCATGGTATTCTTATAATTAATATACTATACCCCCTCTTTCTCAAGTTATAATTTGTAAAGACAAAATAAATTCTGAGTATATACCTTGATTTTACATGGGTGGTTTGGACTTCACTTAAAATATGACAAGTATCTCGCAAATCTTGTATTTTCATTACTCTCATCACCACTACAAATTCTTCTAGTTTGGTCCTGAGAATAATTGCTTTATTTGGTTAAGACTCCTTTGTCTTTCCCCTCAGTCTCAATCCTTATTTAAGCTTATTCTCAGTCCTTTAGACTCTTGAGTAATCCATTCAGTCACATTCATTCTGCATTCTACTTTTCCTCAAGTCAACTCAAACTTGTTCTCTTCATAATTCTTTTAATCCTTCAACTCAGTCAGTCTCTTTTCCCTGGGCCCCCTGCCCCCAACAGACTTAAGATCTTCAAGATTTATTGTTTTGAATATTAGCAAAAGAATCCGCACGCAATGCGGGAGACCTGGGTTCAATCCCTGGATTAGGAAGGTCCCCCTCCAGTATTCTCTTCTGGAAAATCCCCATGGACAGAGGAGCCTAGCAGGCTACAGTCCATGGGGTCACAGAGAGTCAGACCTGACAGAGCGACTAAGCGCAGCACAACTTTAGAAGACGGGAGTACCAGTCATTTGACTTAAATTCAGTTTAATTTAATTCAAATAACCTCACTTTTGCATGCTAGACATTAGTATTTGTGCAATTGAAATTTGTCACTCAGATAAATAACAAACAACAAATTTTATTGGGTAAAATGATTGGGTGACTTTCTTCTACTCATAAGTTTTTCTTATCTTTATGAGTAATTTCTTGGTTTATTGAAAACTATTTAAGATAAATTGACTAAATCATGTAAAGAGATTAAGTTGACTAAATTATACTGAAGAGATTATATATGAAAATAAGTAAAATGAACTTCATTGTGTAAAAACAGCAAGCAATCCCAAATACTCTTAAAAATACCAAATACCTTAGAAAAATTACTTTTAATTAATTAATTTATTTATTTGTGTATTTATTTCTCTGGTGCCTTTAGGCCAAATCTAAAAATTCTAAGTGATCACAGTGCCTCCTAAATGTGACTTACAAATGGGGATATTGTATGAGAAAACATAAATTAGAGAATTAAAAATTATCTTTGATCTTGCTTCATTTATATTTGTAGCTAACATATGTGGTTCATTTTATAGAATGAATTAGCTACCTAAACTCACACAACAGGTTTTAATTATTCATCCCTATGTGTACAACACGGCCCTGGACAACGTGACCAGGATACAACAGAGCGAGACACGGGAAACATCCCTTACCTTTAAAGAAGACAAAATTCCCATCACTGTTTTCATAAACTGCATCAATGCTAGGAGGCAAGCCCCGCCAGAAGTAAGTAATTTGCATGGGGTATCCATCCATCACCCTGTTGTTTCTGACTCGCCAAAACCACTGGTCCTGCAAAGCAAACAGAAGCAACTTTCAACAGAAGTGAGGCCTCCAGGAATTTCCCTGTGCTGTGGTTTAATGCTTTTACAGGTAAGCTAGTGCAGTTATCACTGGCCTACACCAAAACAGTCAAATGAACAGTTTAACAACTTGCCCACTAGGATCACAAAGATTCTTGTAGCAAACTACCCAATGTCTAATCTGTGCATTGTGGTTTAAAAGATAACGTAAAAATACTTAATCTTAGCAGTTTACATTATCTCTAAATGGAAAAACAAAGGTAGCACAGACAAGACTCTGCCAGATTTGTGGCTTAAGTGACCTTTCCAAAATATAAAAGCGGCATAGCAACACATACGCACGTTTGTATTTATAGACATAGTCAAGGTCTCTGCACCTAAAGTGCTGGGATAAGACAGGGAGGCCACACCTCCTCGTGTGCCCATGTTATGCTACTGTCTCACACAATTATAAACAGAGTCCTCTTTCACCTTCAAATGTATCCTGGTTTGGACAATAAATTATACTGTCATTATATATATAAATTATCACAGTATAATTTATCCACTGTAAATTACACTGAACAAAGGAATCTTGAAGGAAGATCATTAGAGTGGATTAAAGTGTAGGTCAATTGCTTCTCCTATTTGCTGTCATAATAACCTATACTTTATTCAGTCATACCACAGGTCATTTTATATTAAATCTGTTTACTTTATCACCAGTGAATTATGTATCTGTCTTGCCCCAAAGCAGATATTTATGAATATTTTTTAGACAAAACACAATATATTTTTCACCATAAATTCTGACTAAGGGCAAAAATTCTTCCCCCAAAAGGTATATTTGATGACATTAAATTGTTTTCTATTGAAAAGTTTGGAATAATTTAGAGATTATCCAAAGTGTTTTAATATTAGAAAAAAAGGCATATTTTAAAAATTAGCATCCAATAAATTAAAATTAAATATTTCATTACATTTCAGTATTTACAAGCAAGGTTTCATTGGAAATTATGTGGTTGTTGTTAAGTTGCTAAGTCATACATTACTTCTTGTGACCTCATAGACCACAGCATGTCAGGCTCTTCTTGCCTCCACTAACTCCCAGAATATACCCAATTTCATGTTCACTGAGCTGCTGACACTATCTAACCCTCTTATCCTCAGCCACCTCCTCCACCTTTTGTCTTCAATGGTTCCCACCACGAAGGTCTTTTCCAATGAGTCGGCTCTTCACATCAGATGGCCAAAGTAGCAGTTTCAGCATCAGTCTTGCCAATGAATATTCGGGGTTGATTTCCTTTAGGATTGACTGGTTCAAAGGACTCTCAAGAGTCTTCTCCAGCACCACAATTTGAAAGCATCAATTCTTCAGTCCTCAACCTTCTTTAAGGATAAATTCTCATAATCCATACCTGACTAGTGGAATCAGCTCAGTCACTCAGTCATGTCTGATTCTTTGAAACCACATTGACTACAGCACACCAGGCCTTCCTGTCCATCACCAACTCCCAGAGTTTACTCAAACTCATGTCCATTGAGTTGGTGATGCCATCCAATCATCTCATCCTCTGCTGTCCCCTTTTCCTCCTGCCTTCAATCCTTCCCAGCATCAAGGTCTTTTCCAATGAGTCGGCTCTTCGCATCAGAGGGCCCAAAATTGGACCTTCAGCTTCAGTATCAGTCCTTTCAATGAATACTCAGGACTGATTTCCTTTAGGGTGGACTGGCTGGATCTCCTTGCAGTCCAAGGGACTCGAGAATCTTCTCCAACACCACATTTCAAAAGCATCAATTCTTTGGTGCTCAGCTTTCTTTATAGTCCAACTCTCACATCCATACATGACTACTGGAAAAAACATAGCTTTGACTAGACAGACCTTTGTTGGCAAAGTGATGTCTCCACTTTTTAATATGCTGTCTAGGTTTATCACAGCTTTCCTTCCATGGATCAAGTGTCCCTTAATTTCATGGATGCAGTCACCATCTTCAGTGATTTTGGAGCCCAAGAAAATAAAGTCTGTCACTGCCTTCACTTTCTCCCCTTCTATTCACCATGAAGTGATGAGATGGGATGCCATGATCTTAGTTGTTTACTGCTGAGTTTCAAGATAGCTTTTTCACTTTCCTCTTTCAATCTCCTCAAAAGGCACTTTACTTCCTGACTTCACTTTCTGCAATTAGAGTAGCATGATCTACATATCTGAGGTTGCTGATATTTCTCCAAGGAAACTTGATTCCAGCTTGTGATTCATCTAGCCCAGCATTTAGCATGATGTACTGTGCCTATTACTAGAGAGCTCTTCAAGAAAATTAGAGATACCAAGGGAACACTGCATGTGAAGAGGGACACAATAAAGGACAGAAGTGGCATGTTGTTAACCTCCTGTTCATCATTTCCGTACTATCAGGCAGCTTGAATTGATAAATGCTTTGATCAACATGCAGGAGGCACACTTATGTGATTTTAAGATACAAATTATTTCATGAAAAGATTGATCTAATAAAATATATATGGGCAGTAAGGCCCAGAGTGTAATGTCAATAGTATGGACACATGATATTCTGATAATTTAAAACAAAAACAAAAACAAAAAAGCATTTTGGTCTGTCTGCAAAAGGGGTTTTTAACTGAGTGTTAAAATCATTCCAATATCCATATAAAACATTTTAAGATTATGGTAATATATATCCTAAAATAAATGAAAATTGCTGTAAACTACTGGATTCTAACAAAGAAATAACTGACTATAATTATTTATGGAACAATTAAAACAAAAAGCTCTCTAAGCTGAAGAATAGGAAGAAATTGGATGAAAAGTCCTGGGAATATAATCCAACTTTTCTCAGAGAAGCACTTCACATTGCTAGCATCTCCCCACAATTCAGATAGGCCAACGGCTCTTTGGGACAAACAGGCTGCAGTCTGAAGATTAGAATACAACCCAACATGCCACTAACGAAGGAACAAATGAAATTTCTGCCTCAAGATAAGCAGAGCCAATCTGCAGATCTTTTCAAGGTAATGCAGAAGCACAGGTGAATTTGTGACTACTTTTCACAGACAGTAGCCTTGGCAGAGAGTCATATATATTGTAGATGCTCCAGTTCTGATTCTCCTCAATATATCTGTCTGCAACTTCTCTGCTTAGCAGGATTCAATGGGAAGAATAATTAAGCAAGCTTTCTGTCACAGAGGATGTAAATGCACACCATGATCCCTATAGATTATCATTTCACAAACAGGGGCTGTGACTAACTTTCCCAGAGAATATATTTAAAATGAGATTCAGATGTCTGTGCAAATCTTCCTTCCAGAGGAAACCTTCTCTGACCACCTTATCTAAAACTGAAATCCCTCATTCCACCCCTACACTGGCTTTTACTGTCCTCCTCCTGTTTCTTCATCATTGATTACATTTACCCCTGTTTGATACAATACATGTTTTACTTATTTTTCTTTCATTCTCTCTCATCTAGAATACAAGCTCAATGATGGCAAACTGGTCTGTCCTTTGTTTCCTTATGGCTTCCTATTCCCCCCCACAAAAAAAAAGTCACACATGGCAAATATTTCTTGAAAGAAGAAAAAAATTAAGGAGGAAAGGGCACAGTAAAAGAATTTTCTTTTTTAAGACAAAAGCTATATAAAAGAACATAGAGGTGCTATGAGTGGACAGATGATTAGGGCACATTCCGTTTTCACAAGGGTATGATATATAAAGAACTTTGAACCATGAGCAGATGAGAAACATGTTTTCACCTTTCAAACAACGTAGATTTTGGTTTGGCTCCTGCTGCAAAGGAGAGAATAAGGACTCGTCGCTCTAGAGCCCTGGGCTGTTTGCTTGTATCTTGCCTCTGACCTCTCGTTGGCCAGAGTTCTCACAGAAAAGGGAGGAAGGAGGTGGGATACACTAAAAACAATCACAGCCAGCGCATCTGTAAAGTCAACTTACGGAAAAGCAGCATGTTTAAAAATTGCCAAAGGAATCCCTACTTAAACAGTAGTATTTTACTTCAGAAACAAACATTTTGGAGCTTACGCATACAGTTTTCTTTCCATGTCATATGGGACTCAGACATACCTTGTTGTTCACCATTAACAAAAAGAATACTAATTTTTTAAAATGAAAAAATAATAATTATCCATACATAATACAATACTGTAACTATTTGGTTTTATTCCATTTATATAGGCAAAGAATGTTGGCTATAGAGTGTTGCTGTACCAAGTGTGGTTAAACTCTGTACTCAAAGATGCGAGGAGCACGTGAAAAGACACATGTGTGTTGACACTGTTTTCTTTTTAGGTCCTGATATTTTTTTTTTTTCCTGTTTCTTTTTGCATCAACTCTTGTTCAGAAACCAGTTTGCAATGACTGCGATGAAGCAAAGGAGAGTTTACTGAAAAACGCTTCACTTCCTTTAGGGAAAGGAGCCACAAACTGTAGATTCAATTGTGCCAAACAGTCCTATGACACGCTGCTTCGCCCCCTCTCCTTTGGGATCTGAGGATCGTGAATACTGGCAAGGTGATCTAAATTTTAATTCACATTACCATGTAACTGAGTCGAAAAAAACAGAAAAGATTTTATTCCTCCCACTGAACTAGCAATTCTGGAGTTCTAAAAATATGAACTCTTTAAGAATGTACATTCATCCTAGAAGGGAACAGAGACAAACAATAATTTCAAAAGGCTGTGTGAAATGCTATTATTGCTGCCGCTATAAAATGGGAACTACCATTTACTGAATATAATGAGCTAGAAAACAGCTGTGCCATTAGCACACCTATCAAGAATTACCATCCCTTTATTTCTGACCTGAAGAAAGATGTCTCATTTACAATAAAAACTATGTTCCTGCTGAATAAAGTACAGGCTGTTTTGTTTTTTTTTTTTTTTTACTCAAGGTAATTGAGAGGGCAGTGTATTCAATTTAGTTTTTTAACCAGCCAATCTAAAATTGTCTCTTCAGTCCTTTTCTATCAACCCATCATGTTTT